TCCTCCTCCTCCTCCTCGTCTTCCTCCTCCTCCTCCTCCTCATCATCCTCCTCCTCATCATCATCATCATCTTCCTCCTCATCAGATTCGCATCATTATTATGATTATGTGTATGACTACTCGTATCAATATCATAATTAGCCTTATCAATATTACCCTTATTCGTATTATTATTAATAATATTATTCGCAGTCTGAATATTGGTATTATTATCATTACTATTTTTATTACTTTTAGTATAAGTTGTATTCGTCTTCATCTTCATATTATGATTATGGGTCTTCTTACTAGTCACATTAGCATTCGTACTAATATTCCTCCTCCTCCTCCTCCTCCTCTTCTTCCTCCTCCTCCCCCCACTATTCCTATTCCTCCTCCTCCTCATCATCATCCTCCTCGTCAACATAGGAATCGCCTAGCCACAATAATGTATAACAGAAAGTGGGTAGGAGGTGGGCGGAAGAGGAGGAGACATGCGAGAGCAGGAGGAGACACGCCCGAAAATCACGACCGTCGGTGTGTGCGTGGCAAAATGTGCTGTTTTGGGATGGGCTGGTGGGGATACTTTTAGTCAGCGGCCGCAGGCGAGCGCGCCAGCGGCGAGTCCAGTCAGAGCGGGGCGCGCAAAGACGAATAAACTAATCTAAAGCGGTGGGCCGGAGCCTCACGCAGCACCCCAGCGGCGGGCCGGCGAGTGGAAAGGGCTGGCGGCAGGCTGGATAACAGTACTGCCAGGGTGCACGTATGCAACGCGTCCGAAGCTGCAGGCAGCCGGGGGGACCGGCGTCCAAGGACAGAAGCAGACTTGGAATTAGATGCAAGGGCGCAAGCCCCTGGACTACTACGAAGGTACCAGGGTGGCCGCAGCCAAGTGAGAACCGACTGTCGGCGGACGAATTCACTGCCCAGAGGGGGCGTGAGCATCGGCAGGCTGCGAAGTACTAGGGTGGCCGGAGCCAGGAGGTCAAAGAGCAGCAGAACGCACAAGTGCGAGGAGCAGCCCAGCTGCAGCGCGGCAAAAATGGCGCGGCTGGTGGGGATATTTTTTTGTTGGTCGCGGCCGCAAGACGACGGTCAGGCGGCGAGGGCAACGTCCGGGCCACGGGTGAGGCTAATTGCTAAACAGAGGCTGGTGGGGATACTTTTTTTGATTGGCGGCTCACAAGGACAGATCCAGGAAGCGGGAAGGTCTCGGCTGGGGCACAGGGCGAGATAATTAGCGGCTGGTGGGGATACGCGAAGCGTGAACAATTTCAAGGAAAGGCCAAACAAGCGCAAGACGCAGGAAACACACGCACGACCAGGCTGGAGCGACCGAGCAACGGCAAGGCGCACAAACGCCCTCGTCCTAAAAGTCGCCGCGCCAGCTGCAAGGAAAAACACGCAGAAAAGAGCATTCCTCAAATGCTTCGCGCTCCGCCCAAGCAAGGCAGACGTCGCCCAGCCAACTGCCTTCCCCGCCACCCCCCCCCCCCACCCGCCCCAGACCCCCCCACCCCCAAAAAAAGCAGAGCTTCGCTCAGTAGCACCCCTGCATCATACATCACACTGTCCCTTTCCAGAAGCAAACTCGTGGCTCACGTCAATTATCCTTCCCCCGCCCCCACCCCCACCAAACCCCACGCCAACGGACGAGACAGCCCTCCCTCCATACCCGGCAACCCCCCTAATTACCACGGGCCATGAGGGCCACGAGGACACTGACTCTTGCTCGTGCCGCCCGGTAAAGAGGAACAAGCACACGAAACAGAGACAGACACTGCATACTGGTAGAATCGGAGCAATGCACGTCCCGCTGCTGAAAAGAACCCACATCAGCAAATGGAACTCGCAACACACAACCCACGGCAAGCGACCCGGACCGTCTGCATCATCGTAAAATCTGCAAGGCGCGGCACAGCACGCGTACCCCAGAAAGTCAGGAACACGAACGCCCACACGCTCGAACGCGAACGTGGACGCGCGGATGATCAAACGCATCTACAGGCCCACGACAAGCAAAAGCACGGTCCCCAGGACGGGCAAAAACGGGCCCCAAAAGCCTAGCACGCATGAGCACACGATAATGTAATTCTACCCTTAGCGTAGGCATGTCAAGCTGCAAGACGCAATCCGCACAGGACAAGCGCACCTTCCCCTACGATGTGACGCCGCATGATGTCCCCCCTCCAACCCCACCCCACCACACCCGCACCCCGCTCCCCGGGGAAAAAAACAACAAACAAAAAAAAAAAAAAAACTACAACAACAACAACAACAACAACAACAACAACAACAACAACAACAACAACAACAACAACAACAACAACATCAACAACAATAACAACAGCAGCAGCAGCAACAACAACAACAAGAACAAGAATAAGAAGAAGAAGAACACGCGACATAGGGACACCAAACACCTGTTGTAGTTTCAGCGTCTGCATTTCGTATTGCACCTTGCTTTGTTCAAATGCGCTTGAAAGGGCACGTGTTTGTGATGCGGCGACGCGGCGACGCTGCGCGCGCCCATCGACGTAGAGTCTCTGAGCTAAGCGCAGATTGCGAAAATGCCACCTGCGACGTACAGTCTCCAGTGGAGAAATGTACTCATCAGAACTCGATCAACACATCGGCACGCTTGCCGCGTCCCGGTAGCATGAACTGGGCACCCTGGAAGAGATCGAGAGCTCCGGGGACTACGAATCGGAAAAAATCAGAGCCTGGAAGTCCGGGGGGAGAGGGCAGGGAGAACGCAGCTGCGACGTGGGTGGGAAGTGTCACACCTCCTGTTCCTCTTCGCCTATGCCTCCCCTGTCCTCTCCTCTCCTCTGTCACGCCTTGCGAACCCGCAACGGATAGCGCCCCCACCCCCAGCACACCCCCTTATGATGTCAAAGAGGTGCCGCGCGTGCCAAGTTTTGCGAACCCGAAACGTATAGCGCCCCAACCCACTGCACACACACACACACACACACACACACCCTGGGGTGTCGAGAAAAGGCCGCGCTTGCCAAGCTTTGCCAGCCCGAAACGGACAGCGCCCCAACCCACAGCGCACCCCCTTCTGGAGTCGAGGAAATGCCACGCCTGTCACGCTTGGTGAGCCCGAAACGGATCCGTAGCGCTCCTACCCCCAGCGCCCCCCCTGCGGCTTCGAGAAAGCGCCACGCCTGCCACGCTTTGCAATTCCGAAACACGGCACACCCCCTGTGGTGTCAGGGAAGTGCCGTGCCCCGCCTGCCACGCTTTGCGAGCCCGATACGGATAGCAGATAGCGCTCCCACCCCCAGCGTCGAGACGTGCTCGGGGCCGACAGGCCTTTGAGCAGGTGGCTTGCTTCGCTCGCCTTGCCGCATGAACGCGGCAGCGGCAGCGAGGACTCCTGGCAGTCTTGGAAGCGACTTGACCAACGAGAGGTGGACTTGGGGATCTCTTCCTGTGGCTGGCGGGATCGGCCGTAGCCCCTGCAGGCCTTCTTCCAGCCTCCGGGCCTCACACGCGCCCGCCGCCCTGGCAACGCGAAGGCGGCCCGGAGCGACGATCGCAGGTTCGTTCTCCCCTCGGTCTGGGTCAGGGGCTGCGGCTCGCAGGCCAGAGGGGGTTCAAGTCGCACTTGGGACCGCCCCTATGTGCGTACCCCCTTGTGGCGTCGAGGAGGCGCCACGCCACCCCTGCCACAATTTGCGAGCCCGGGACGGAGAGCCATCCCCTGCGCAAACCCTCTGGCGCCCAGAAAGGGCCGCGCCTTCCACGTCCTGCGACCCGCCAGAGGTATAGTAGCGTTGTCTCGTCGACGCACCCTCTGTGCATATGTGCTGTGTGTATGTGTCTTTGTGTGCGTGTGCGACTGCATGCTTGTTTGTGTCTGATGCGCGCGCAAGTGCAGGTGAGAAGGAGAGGGAGAGGGAGAGGGCGAGGGAGGGGAGGAGATGTTGGTGGGATGCGGGTGGTAAGAAGCCATAACCCCGGTAAGCAGGTGAGGAACAGACAACCCCGAGGCAAAGACATCTAGCGGGACGGGCCAGCGCCTGCACGCCCGCGGGCGGGGCAGCACTGCTTGCGGCGCATTCGCGCGCAGGCAGTGCATGAGTGAGATTTTTGCTCGAGGGGCGTCCGGGGTGACCGTGCAGCGCTTCGAATGCCGCAAATCAGGGTGCCACCAGAGGTCGAGACAGCGCTCGTGGACAATCCTGCGTGGCAGCCCTGCCCAAACAGAAACAGGAGACCGCTCAGGCTTCCACCAGGTAGAGGCCAGATACCGCCAAGGAGGCCACGGAGTGTCACGTCAAGCTCCCAGGACAGTCCAAAAGGGCCCTGGACCCCTGAAGGGCGGCCCAGAAGGCCAAATCATTGGTTTAGGGTTTAGGGTTTAGGGTTTAGGGTTTAGGGTTTCGGGTTTCGGGTTTAGGGTTTAGGGTTTAGGGTTTAGGGCTTAGGGTTTAGGGCTTAGGGTTTAGGGTTTATCATTGAAAACCGAGGGTTGTCGCATGAGTTTACGCAACATACGGCGTGTCTGTCTGAGGAGCACCCAAAACGGCCCAAGAGGCCCGCCCCAACGATCGCCCTGGGACGGTCCAAGAGACCCTCGAGAGGACCCCAAGAGGACCCCAAGACAGCCCCAAGAGAGACCCAAGAGGGAAAAATCGAGTTGGCACTTCTAGCCTCCCGCCCCAAGATGGCCTCCGATTTCGTCAGGACGCCCCCAAGAGGAGCCCAGGAGACCCCTTAGAGGCCCCAAAGTGGCCTCCAACGGCCCAAGAGACCGCAAGATGCATGTAAGGGTCCTCTGGTCCACAACACAGGCACCGTGGCGGGTTAGGAAACTGAGCCCACTGAAATAAGTGGCCCACCAAACCAGTATCCTTACAATATCCGCTACCTCAGACAGTGCAAGCACCACTCAGTGGAAGTAGCGCAAAGGAGCGCTTTGACAGATGTAAGTATGGCAGGGGGGCTGGCAGGGTAGTCGTAGGCCCCCCGAGACACAAAAATTGCCGAGGGGCGGAAACGTGGTGATCCTCCGTCTCGGACTTCTCAAACATGGTCATGTCGGCAGTCTGCTTGCACTTCTCCCAGCTAATGCGACCGTCGAAATCGAGCCGAGCAGAGTTGAGCATCACGCACCTCAGCTTGCCACCGGCAGCAGCACTGAAGCATCGTGGCACCGCTCCCCTCCAAGGCTGTGGGGCTGCTAGGCGGCGCAACGCAGAGAGAGCCATCTGGAGACTCGGACCTGGCCCAGAAAACTGCAACAAAACCTGAATGAGCCAAAAATCTGGGCAAAACGACGCGATTCAGCTGTTGAGGGTGACGGCGACGTCAAGTGAGACATTCCCGTGTACACCGCAAAAGAAATACTGGAGACTGGACCACACTTCATGGAACGTAACAGAGCCCACAAATGCGGCAGTGTCTCCGCTACGGTGGAAAAGACCGCCGCACTCCGCTTGCGCTTGCAGCCGCCAGCCAACAGACAAAGAGAGCTGCGACATATAGATCAGCCATCCTTCCCTAGATCTCTCGCATTTTCCCTCTTGATTTCTATCTCTATATCTCTCTCTATCTGTAAATACACATATATCTATCTCGCTCTCTCTCTCTCTCTCTCTCTCTTGCTGCAGCATCGCACGTTGCAAAACAACCTAATGCCCCTCGCTGCCTCGCACCCCCCTGCCAGGCCTCTCGGCACGCAGAGAGCGGTAGCCGCCGCAACCATGACGACTTGAAGCTGTAAACAGCTCGCGGCAAATGGCCTGAGAAACAAGTTGGATCAGAAGCGGGAGGAGCAGCGGGACAGAGAAGCCCCATGGCAGGAACGCAGAACTGACCACACGACGGACACGCTAACCTCCGCGCCGCTGCAGCCACCCAGGACCACCTCCCTGGACAATGCCCAACTGGGGGCCTTGCCTCAGGTCGGGCACGTCCTCCAAAAGAGCACGAAAAATCGTCACCCAACTAATCTTTTAACAATTCATCAAGATTCCTTCTGTAAGAGAGGCATGCCTCCAGTCGGGCATGTCCTACAACAGGCGGATTCTGGCGGAAATGTTCAACTTTAAGCCCAAACATCGTCAAGCATTGTCAAAAAGTAATCGGAATAAATCATCCCCAGACCATGTTTTGACGATGTAGAAAACCAAAAAAAAAACTTAAAAAAAACTTCTGTAGAGGGACGTGCCCAACTCAAGCCTTGCCTCGACGGAACTGCACCGCCCCCACGCGCACCAACCACCCGCCCGGAGCCGCACGGCCTCGCGTGCCGGAGGGTGGAGCACGACCCGAGGCAGGGAGGCCGCCGCTGTCTGCGGCGGGGAGACGCGGGCACCAGCGCACGGGGCTCGGTGCCGACTGCCCCTCCTCAACCACCACCTCCTCCTCCTCCTCC